GAGCCTCCGGAGAATGATAATGGAGTATATAGAATATCGTTGAAGTGCCAGTCTGAGAGAGTGATGGTGTCCTGTACAGTAGCTGATGCCGCGGTACTCTTCGCAACGCAGTGGGGAGGGTACTCGAGGAAAGAGGTAGGAAGTTACCTGCATGGTCTGGTCGGCTCTGGAGTAGGGATATGATAGGTAGCTGTGCGCCCACAGCCTGGCGTGTGTACTGCATGTCGAGTTGGAGGAGAAGGTGGATGGCAAGTCGCAATGCAAACAATAACGTTAACCCAGTCGGTGCGGTACTTGCATGTGAGAAGGGAGTTGGTCGGAAGGGTTGTTGTGGAGGAGGTTATGAGTAGGTACAGAGGCAGAGCGAGAGGAGGGTCCTCACTTGTGGAGCATTGAGACAGAATCCGGAGATACGCTTGGATGAATATGTTATACCGATGGAGTGTCGAGATGAGAGGATGCGCGCAGAGGAGAAGGTTAGTAATGTTGTTTACCATGCGGGAGGTCCCGGGTTCGATCTTCGGTGGAGGTGTTTTTATGCATTTTATTGTTGTTTAGGTTGAGATGGTTTGTGGTTCTGCTACGGCCGCCGTGGAGGTCAGTCGTGGACCATTCTGCGGGAAGGCTGATGCTACTGTAAGAGGTTTTTCCGCATAATCGCTCAGTGCGCGAAGAAATCCGTTTTCGGAATTATTTCCCCAGTACAACATCGCCCATATCGGGTCATTAGTTTGGAAGCCTTCAGGTTGTTGTTCAAGGGAAGGTCTGCCGCTCCTGTGAGAGGGTCACTGTGAAGGGTTCTCTTACTCCAATGCAGCTCGGTCGGGCTTCCATCGTTGGAGCCGGTATCGAGCTGGAGGCATTAGCCCCTGGACAGGGCATGAACCAGTACTCATGTAGCCATGTTATGGCTCCACCTCAATACACTGCTATGGGCACTCTAGTTATGCAATGTGCTTGCCAGGAAAAGGTACGGAAAAATGATGTTGTTGCTTCGCTCCGCTAGGAAATATTACAGGTTCTTGAAATCGAATGTCGAGAGGAGG